GAGCAGCATATGAAGAAGGGTGTTGCCTTCCTTAAACTCCCTTTAACTTTTACACTAATGGCAAAAATAAGTTGTTGTCCATATAATTTGTTCTAATGCTAAAAAGTTTTATCTTTATTGATGTTATTTCTACCACTGTTAGTGTATTTGATCATTATTAGTCACTTAAAGTCATGTTGATTCAAGTCATAGGTACTATCAAGTCTTAGATTGACTTTAAACAACAAATACAGTAAAACAGATATGCCAATGATTGTAACTAGTAAGTTTGTTCCCATTACTCATTTGCAAATTCATATGGTAAAGAAGCAAGGTACATTAACTAGAGGTTGCCTAAGCTAGAATAGAACTTACCTCATAGCTGAGAATGTCCCCAAAGGAGGTAATGTCTGTGCCCGTGAACAGAGAACGCTGAAGAGTGTAATGGACACAAGAAGCTGGGAGCTACTTCTATGTTCCATCTTTTTAGACCTGTGTTAGTGAATAGAAGACAGTAAAAACCTCCTATCACCACTGGTTTCCTATAAAAAAATAAAGAGGACCATTTATGAGATACTTTGCTGGTTCCGTGAGGGATTTCATGAGTAAATTTCTACTATGGAGTATACTTTTTAACTCAACTTTATCGTGCCAAAATACCAACCCTTAAAATTTGATGAAATCTCTCTTGTTTCTCTGGCCTGAAACTCAGACTAACAAAATGGCTTTATTTCTGCCTTATAATTCCTGTTCTTTGGTAAAGACAGAAGATAAAGAGACGTTTTATTGAAAACCAGTAGCATTCGTAAAGAACATGGCACCAACATAAACCTGTTTGATTCTACAGAATGATGAAGTGACCTTGTTAATTACTATCATGGCTCCTCTAGTTTTGTGCTCTGTTAGGAAAACATAGTACTGGATTACTTGACTTGTAGTGTAATAACCTAAAAGTATGATGACAATCAAATATTTTGACATAGAGTCAACGGTTCTTAGGCTACAGTTTCTAATTACCACCGTAGAAGAGAAGTTTCCTTCATTTCAAGCAAAATAACATCAAAAGGAAACAAGTAGGAAGTGGAGAATGTCATAAAAAGAAGCATTAAACATTGATTTAAAAAGAGCATGCATTTTTTTTAGCTTGGAAATTGTCCTCAAGTGGACATTTTTTTAGAGTTCAATATCCCACTACTTCCCTCTTTATCCCCCTTTTCATTCCAGAACAGAAAATAGCTGATTGAGTGAGAAAGAGTAACCCACTTGATTTAGATATCAGGGAAGTAGAGTAGGAAACAACTGGCTATAAAAGGGACCCAAGTAACCATGGTGTGATCTTTTCAGGTAAGAGAGAAAGCACTAACATGCACCTGCCTGCAGGAGTATGGACAGAGCAAGCCCAAGGTTCATTAAAAGCTGACACTGACAGTTTGCAAAATACTCTGCCTGATCGTGACTATCAACAAAATATTATACTTAGTTCTTTCTTCCACACATCTTATTCATTCCTCACCTGGCAACAGAAAGCCAGCTAACTAGAGAAAGCACCTGGGGAAGGGTGAAGGACTGCGAGCAAGATGGTCAGAGAAGGAAGGAATGTCTAGGTACTGGTAGCATCCTCACCTACTAGGTGTTCAGAAAGTTTTCAGAGCCTAGATGGTTTGCATTTCTCTTAGCAAGTGGGGCTTCCCCTCCGCTGGAAGAAGACTTTCAAAGGTTTTAAAGGAGGAAGGGAGAAAGCGAGTTTACTCACAGCGCAGGGAGCCCGTGCGTTGCCTCTGGGAAGCGGGGAACTCTCCAAGGTGCTGAATCCCTGGCGGCGGCAGGGCGGGCTGTGGACAGGCTGGTTGCGGGGCCGGGGCTTCCGCTGCTCTGGAGGTCTCCAGCCCTTCTTGTGAGGCTGATGCCTGCCCTCCCCTTCAGCACACTCTGGCCAGCCCATCCAACCGCCTCATTTTATAGGGTTTATACACAGGAGCACGTTTCTGCTTCAGAAACAGCGATCACGTTACTTGAGAGACGTCACTATTCCCAAGGGGATGAATAGAAATCCGTGATCGCTTTGTCCAGGACACTCGGAGAGTGGGGAGAAGTTTATATTTAATTCATGGACATCAGCGTCTCCTGTTTTCAAGGATTTATATTAATGAGTGTTTTTTGCAGTGAGTAAGACTGGCTTGACAGGGGACTTCCGTTTCTTAAAACAGATGATGGCTTTGCACGTCCTGCCTTCGTTGAATGCAGGAGGGTTGCAAAGCAGAGGTGCGCAGCAGGAACGGGGAGCTGTTGACAGGGCAAAGGGACGAGGTGGGAGGAAGAGGGACAGCAATTACTGACATTTTTCCCCCCTGAATTTCTGGTTAATTAATGATGCTTCCGTCCAGCTCTGTGTCACAGGGGCTCCAAATCACTGCTGTAAAAGTTTTGATGTAAACTAAAGGTCCCACTGAGCTTGCATAGAATGGGGTATTTGAAAGCAGTGCAGAGTTTTCAGGGGATGCTTCCACTTTCTGACACTAAATCCCGTTATATCTATGTGTTGCATACATGGACATCTATATATATATACGTTGCTTCCTGCTCCATAAAATGCACAACAGGGTTTACAGTAAAAAAGTGGAAGTAGGAAGCAGTGTACACACACACACACACACACACACACACCCATATCTGGTCACTTCTTACTGTTTAACTCGAAAGTACTAGGACCTGCCAAGCCTTTTTTTCCAAGATCTTATTCTCACCCAGAAAGGAAGGAAGGAAGGAACGAGAATATTTTTCATAGATAAATGCATTGAAGATCGATCTGT